GGACACGGTGGAGGCATCTTCGTCACTTTTCATTTGCATCAGTCACCTGAACTACACATTTGCGTGCCATCTTCATCATCAGGGTTGACCGTAAAATGAGTACATCACAGTAGATCGCAGTGGAAATTTGCATCTAGCTTTTAAAGAAAAATATTTCTTTTGATGAAGAGTTTTTGTGGAAAAGTATTTTTAAATGGATAGTGGACTTCCAGAAGTTATTGGAAATCAATCTGTCCTCTGTGTAGGCATGTATGTCAGATACGTAAGGTTAGTACGATTTCAAATACACATTTTGTTCACCTTTTAAGTTAAATAAAATTTTAAACTACAAAAAAAAAGAAAGAAAAAAGGAAAGACCTCAAAAAGAAATGAATAAAACAAAAAGCTGTAGCTGTGTATGGTGGTGCACACTTCGGATCTCAGAACTCTGGGAGGCTGAGGCAGGAAGATCTAAAGTTCAAGCCTAGCCTGGGCAATTTTGTGACTTAGAAACTGTCTCAAAATTTTACACAAAGGAAAGCAGAAAGGGAGGGAAGGAAGAAGGAAGGAAAGAAGCAGAAAGAAAGATGGAAGAAATAAAAGGAGGTGGCTGGGGAAATAGCTCAGTTTAAAAGCCCTAGGTTCTACCCCCTAGGGCCTCTCTCGCTTCAAAACACTGTAAACATACTGAGGTTATACTATGAAACTGTGTTTTGTAAAGAATGTATTGTTTATGAAACAAACATATGTAGTAAAATATACATACACACATGAAAAAGAAGGCTACAGTCCTAAGTCATGAGAGTGGTCACTTTTAGCAGGCAGCAAAGAAAATAGAACTGGAAGGTGAGGATAAAAGGGATTCCAAATGTATCTATAAGGGTTTGTTTCTTTTTCTTTTTTCTTTTTTTTTTTTGCAGAGCCAGGGATTGAACTCAAGCCCTTCAGCTTGCCAGGCAAGCACTTATTCAACTGAGCTATCTCCCCAGCCCCAGGGTTTGTTTCTTTAAATAAAATGATTGACCAAACACTGTAATGGCATTTATTAATTCTGGGTAATAGGTATTTTGGATTTGCTGTTCTTGGTACTTTTTCTTTTTGAGACAGGGTCTCGCTGTATAATCCAGGCTGGCTTGAACTCACTTTGTAGCCCAGCCTGGCCTGGAACTACTGCCTCAACTTCCTGAATGCTGGGAATACAGGCATGCTCCACCACACCCAGAATCATGTTGTAATCATGGAAACATTTTTTAAAATGCAAAAGGAGCTTCAAAGTTACTTCAGTTATCAGATGTTCAGTATATCTGTATTTTGAAGTAATGAATATTTTTCCCATAATTTTATTGAGAAACAAATAGCAATGAAACTGTTTCAAACCAAATTGGTAGGACAGTTTCAATAATTAACACATTGCATACATTCTTCCTAGTGGTTAATTGCTGTACAAGATGCGGACATGATATCCAATTGGCAAAGACTATTAGAACAAATCCCTCTATCCATTAAGGGAATGTAACTATATATCTATCCTAACCATTTTGAATACACAGATACAAAATGGACATTCATCTCTATCCCCTTTTCTTGTTTAGTTCAGTTATTTGAATATTATAGGTGTGTAAACTCAGCAAAATAATCTAAAAGAGTCCAGTAGTCCATAATATTATTGAGTCTTCCACTTCCCTGGCAATGTCAGAAATTGTTGACCTGAGTCCCCTACAGCTCAACATAACAGCATGGCTTTACTTCTTATACTTCATTTTTATACTTTTCTGCTGGATGGTTAAGACCAAGATAAAGCAAGACCTATGCAACAAGAGTTGTAGCTTTTGGGTCTGATAAGGTCAGTGAAATCCCCTCAGGATTTATCCTGAGATCCATAATTTCAAAATAACTATCAACAGTACACTTATTAATGAAGCTGCTTTGAATTCTAAATAGTTTCAAATATCTTACTACACAGAAGCTAGTGACAGTGGTCATACGTGGTAGTACACACCCGTAATCCCAGCACTTGAGAGGATGAGGCAGGAGGATCGGTAGGAGGACTGCTAGGTCAGGGAGATAGCTCAGCAGCATAAGCACCTGCCTGGCAAGTATAAGGTCCTGAGTTTGATCACCAATACAAAAGAAAAGAAAAGGACTAGCCTGAGCTACAGAACGAGTTCAAGGCTGGCCTGAACTGTATAGTGAGACCCTATCTCAAAAAAAAAAAGCAAAACAAAAACAAAGAGGCTAGCAATAGAAAAAAATAGTCACCCCTTTGTTTAAAGTCAAAGAAAGCTTTTCTGTGCACACAGTCAAGCCTAACCCCTCTGGCTCCAACTGCTGCCCAGCTGGTCTGGCCATTTACTCCACCATCCCTACATTAAGCATCAGCCTCTGGAAGCCAGCAACTCAGCCTGTAGTCTCCTTGCCTCCAAAGTAATCCTGAAGAACACTCTTCTATGAATGACTATCTTGGCCGAGCATAGTGGCACAGGTCTCTAATCCCAGCATTCAGGAGGCTAAGGCAGCAGGACTGCCTGAAGTTTGAAACCAACTAGGGCTACAATGTAGGTTCAAGATCAGCCTAAATGAACTATATAGTGAGACCCTGTCTCAAAAAAATGCAAAGTCCGTCATAAATGACTCTCTCTCCTTTTTAAAATAACATTCTCTGGCTTAAAAAACCTGAACTGATTCCCCAGGGTCTACTTCATTAGCCTAAATGTCTCTCACTGACTTCTGAGATGCCTGTAATTTTCTTTTTCTTTTTTTGTAATAGGAATCAAACTCATGACCTTGCACTTTCCAGGCCAGCACTGCACTGCTGAGCTATCTCCACAGCCCCTCACCCTGTAATTTTGACCCCCTGCACTCAGCCAACTTTCTCCTCCTGCTACACACAGCCTCTGCTGTAATCAGCAACCTCTGCAATTACTGCTGCACACACTATGCTTCCCCCTGCTGGAAACATCATGCACAAATTCCTCAATGTATTGCAATTCTACTGTCAGCTGAATTTCAGCTTAAGTGTGATTCCTCCACTGAGCATTCACACTCTCACGTTGCCTTTCTCTATTCCTAATCAGGGTCACTGGTGAAGACACGTGTACGAAGAGCACTCTAGCCCTGGAGATCCACAGATGGGGACTGAAGTTATCTTCCATGTGCAGAATTGACTTTCTGTATACTGTTCCTTTATTGAGAGACAGGGTCTACAACTTTCCTTTCATTGTCAGGAAAGATATATGAACTCTCGAACAAAAACACAAAAGACTGCACTCAGTATTTGCCAATTTTCCACCTGACTTGAAAACACAATTTACCTTTATCCTCCCAACTAATCTCTAAGCTCCTTGAAAGTGAGAGGCCAATCTTACCCTAGTTCTTACAGACAACACTGGGCATGAAGAAGAGGCAATAGCTATTTGCTTTAGTTTCCCTCTCAAACTAAAACAGTAATAAGGGAAACTAGGATTTCAATCTAAAGTTTTAGTCTGTGCTAGCTCCTAACATTCACTTCCTGGTTGTCACATATAATGTTATGATATCCACAGGCCCGAATAAATTATTAATAAATAGATCTGGGCAACTAATTTTGATCCATCTGTAATTCTGGAGTCAGAATAAAACCATCTGTGAAGAGAGGTAAGATACGAGAGACACCAATGTTAACCTAATCTCCAGGGAGTAGGAAGAAATGAATTCTAGTACATCCCTAGTTATGCTAAGATCTGCACTATCCATGCTTTCAATATATTTTACAAGTGTACACTTCAGATCTGGGAACTGCATGAATGGTCTACTCACCAATGCCTTCCCAAGTTCAACTGTGACCTAAAAGTGTTTCCAATAGCAGTAAATGTTGACCTTAGACATTTTATTTATTTATTTATTTATTTATTTATTTATTTATTTATTTTTGCGGAACCAGGGAATGAACTCAGACACTTGCACTTGCCAGGGAGACCTTAGACATTTTAATCATCACTTTCTAGTCAAATTCTTGTCTAAATGCCCGAAGGATCTAAAGATGAAGGCTTTCTTCTAGCCTTGGGTTATTAAACTTGTACACATTTAAATAATAAGTGGGAGGAAGCTGGAGAGATAGGTCAGTAGAATAAGTGCCTGCCTGGCAAGAGCAAAGTCCTCAGTTCAAGCCCCGGTACCACAAAAACATAATAATAATAATAATAATAATAATAATAATAATAATAAGTGGGAAAGGGCTTTCCCACTTATTCAATATTTGTTGCTTGTCCACTACTGAACAAAATAGATAATTACAGTGTATGAATTCTGTGGTTCAGTGGACTTTGGTTCAAATGCCTGCTGCGCACACATTTACTAAATTCATGACCTTTGAGAAAGTCACTTAATGTCATCAAACCTCATTCCTTCATGCCTGTGTGATGGAGTGACAATATTTGCTCCCCTAGATCTGCTGATAAGGTGCTGTAAGGAACACACTTTGGATGCTAAGTGATATAGTAAAGCCCTCTGCAATGGCCCAATGATTATTCTGTCCTGCCTCAGCCTCAATTCTGCATAGGGTCAGGGTAGGAGGGAGGGGAAACAAAGAGGCAGGAAGTTTCCATTTTGGTTAGGAAGACAGACAAATATAAATATTTTTACATTGTTTACATTTTTACTATCAATACAAAATCCGAGAACATATCACAAATCTATTTAAGATTACCTTTATCTTTAGCATCAGGAAATATCGAGCTATCGTTGGTGTTGTAGGTAAACACGATGCTTTCAATGCTGTAATGAGTCACCCTCTTAGTAAAATTCACAAACCAAGAGAAACCAGATCGAAACTTCACAGCTAGTCTGGAAGCATTGTGGTCATCCCCACAAAAGCTTTCATTATATGTCACATTACCAAGGACTGGAATGGAAACCGTTTCCTAAAAGAAAAATAAGTCCAGAGGTGAGAACCCAACAAGCAGTGAGTCCCAACATGGGACATAAGCTGGGCGCACTGCGTCAGGCCACATCATCCATTCTCCCCATGGCCAGGTTGTCCTGGGCCAGATGTACTTTGGAATCCAGCCTCAGACTCTTCAGCTACACATCTTTTTTTTTTTTTTGAGACAGGGTCTCACTATGCAGCTGAGGCTGGCCTTGAGCTCACTCTGTAGCCCAGATTGACCTCAAACTTGCAGCCATCCTCCTGCCTCAGCCTCCCAGGTGCTGGCATCACAGGCATGTGCCACCATACCTGGCTACACACACTTTTGGCATGTCCACAAAGTAAATAAAAATGGCCTGAAGTACCATTCTTAGCGGATATAAGGCTAAAGAAATATTTATTCCAACACAAAACAGAATACAGTACTTATAAAGAGTGTAACATTTATTAAGACTAGAGTTTAACTCTTAAATCAATTAACATGAAAGCTTATTTTTAAAAAAACAAAAACAAAACATATTTTTACAAATGCATCCAAAGGATAAAAGTCAGATAAAAAGTCACAATTAAATTTCTACTATAACCCCCCAAAAATTAGTTACTTACATTAGTTTTGTTTGTAGTTTCATACTGTACTGTGAAATTCATCTGCCATTTTGCATAAAGGCAAGTGACGTCTTCTTTGTTTTTCAAATTAAGTTCCAACGCGTAAGACTGGGCAGCCCCTGGATTTATTTTTTAAAAAAAGATTTTTAAATTATATTACAAAAACAATATGAAATAAAAAGTTATATCCACTATTAAAGTTCAACCAGCTCTAAATTGAAGAATTTTTAAATATACTATATATAGTGTAATATACTGTTTTTCTTTGCAATCTTTAACAGAATCCTATTAATCAAATAACAGTTTTACTTTCCCAGAAGAATGGTTACTAGATCTGGAATGCTCACAGAGTGGTACAGACTGGTGACACTGACCTTCTGCCTCCTGATAATCACTTCCACATTCATGTGCTGTTCCAGTTTTTAGTCAATTAGAGTTTGCTCTTTGGGACTTTTCTAAGTAAATTAGCTAAGGGAAAGCATGGAAAGGATGTTCCAGCTTCTCTCAAACAGTAGATAAAATTCTCTATACAAAACTAGTGCTAGCTTTATAGTCTCACTTCAAATCCTGTGCCAAGCGATGTAACCTAGGAGCCCCAGATGTCCTTCCAAATGACCTCATTCTAATATGATCAAATGTGGGAAATCTCTTTATGAAAGTATATCAAATGACTAAAGAAGCAACACTGCAAAGAGTTGTCGGCTCTGTAAGAAAAAGGTTATTCCAACTGGGCATGGGAGCGCACACCTGTAATCCCAGAACCTAGGATGTTGAAGCAGGATTGCTGTGAGTTCTAGGCCAAGATGGACTGCACAGTGAGTTTAAGTCCAGCCTAAACTACATAGTGAGTCCTCATCTCAAAAAAAGAAAGAAGGAAAGAAAAGAAAATTGTTATTCCTTAAAATCCGAAGTTCACCACTTTGTTTCTCTTTAAAATCAAACTGACAAGAATGACTGAGAAATCTTTTGGTTTTTTGGTTTGTTTGGTTTTTTTGGTTTTTTTTTTTTTTTTTTTTTTTTTTTTTTTTTTTTTTTTT